TTTGCGATGCGTGTAGAATATGTTTGTGTAATCCGTTTACATATATATGGCACTTTGCATGGAAATTATGACTTCTAATTTTTTTGTTAAACGTCATCTGGCTCCGCTAGAAACCTATCGTTGCACCGTTACATTTTCACTTTACTGCTTTAAATTCGTTTAATGTGTTGTTTATCTAGAACAGTATATCGCGCGCATGTGCAAATCAATTTGCTTCAATTATCGTGCATATCTCTGGGATTAAATAGCTTCTGAAATTTGCCAACATACTAAACAATTCCGCACCGTGTTGAAAGTTAAAATTTTGATAGTTCTGATTATGATTACATGTTGATAGAGGCAGTGGAAAGAGGGAGATGTTATCAACATATCGGAAAATTTTATCAACTGCTGCACTTGGTGTATAAACCATTTTATTTCAACCGATTGACTAACTGACGAAACTGGGTTTCCACACCACATCAGTGTACAAATCGCAACTCATTTGCACATATCTCATAAGATGACATCATGACATCAAACACCTGCTTTAATACCATGCAGCTAGTGTTGCACTGCTCGAACTATACTGTCTGAACTAGTCCTGCATGTATTCGTGAACCTATTCTAGAGCTCACTTTGTAAACTCACTGACCGCAAATCCGATTATCTCCTACGAATTCAGTTGTAACCGTTAGCGTGCGTTCCTCTGGATCGTGGAGGGAACTTTACGGTTGAGAATAACCGCCGTTTGGATAAGTGGGAATACGATTTAACTAAGTAGCTTATGTTCTGCTTCCAAACTCATTTTGGCTTCTTAAATTACCAGGTTTGTTCTCGTGTAAATGGTCTGGTTACCATGCTACTAGCGAGGCGATCGGTTAAATCTAATGAGTTGCATCTCCACTCAAGTAGTGAGACTGAGACAATTTAACTGCCTACTTCTGTACACGTTTTTTGTTCTGAGACCACATTTCAGTTCGTTTTATGCAAGGGATGTAAAGACTTGTAGGTGCATTTTTCATACGTTTCATTTCCAACGTTGATAACTTTTGTGCCTCTTGACACTGTTGTACTTGGATGTTATTCTGTGTGCTATGTCTGTGACTTACCTGTGTTACGACCGCTGCTGTACATGTGAGCACTAAGCAGCACTCGCGGACACCGGTACAAATTACTGGCATCCGAGTTGAAGTGGACAGCTCACCCTGGACGCTATGAGGGCCGGTTATGCTGTGAAACAAAAAAGATTTATTTGCAGAACAGAAATGCCAATGTCCTTACCTTAAAGAATACACTGCACTGATCTTAAAAATGTCTTCCGATGTTACTTAGCACGTCAGGTTACATTGCTAAAATCAAGTGATTATTTTAAACAATATCAAGGCTAAGTCGTAAGACTTATAAGCAAATTTACTGAATCAGAATATGTACAGAATGCAACCATGTGGCAAATACTCTTAAAAGATTACCGCAACACTCGCCGTCAACTATTGACTGTATCTTGGCACTGGGAAATAATTATTTCGCCGAGATCGACGCTTGTATGCTCCCGCGCCCTTATGCTGCAGAAACCAGCGAAGGTCACCCATCATAGAAGACATGTGCTTGCCACTGTAGCGATGCTCCAAGACTGAAATGTCTTGTTGAAAGCGCTCATCAACTTATTCGCTAACAGATCTTAAGTTCTAAATGAAAAATTCAAGGTGTTTGTGCAAAAATTGAACCTTGAGTAACATTTGAGCACCAAGATCCCGATAGTCTGCAGTGAGCTATTTTGTAATGTCTTTGTAGTTAACTGCCTTTGTGCTACCTAAAAATCATGTAGACATTACGCATTAACATCGACGCGCTTCTGACTCAAATGAAGCCAATTGGCACTCAAAACCACTGTCCGTCATTATCTGGCACATAGCAGGTCAAGTAAGTATCGCTTCTTTGAGTTTCGCATCACTGATCCTCAGAAACATTTGTTTCCGGTATTAGAACGTAAAACCCTCTCGCTTGAGGGCTTTGACGAAGCTTTAAATCAAACCAAGTTTGAAGTGCAGGGGTGATAGATAGATATGATCAGGTTGCACTAGAGGTGTATGTGTTAAACTCATTTTGCCTGCAGCGTACTCAGTCCTCTCTAGACACTTTTCGATTGTGTAGTACTGTTGAGTTGCTCTACGGTCCCAGAAGCACAAGAAACAACAATCTTTGATGAAGCCTCCTTGCATACCCATTAGGAGGCCAATGACTTTGATGTCAGCACAGATGTTCTAACAGTTCTTATGGTAGTTGGATGCACCGAGTATCTGTTCCATGCTTTCGTAAGTCTCCCTCATATTGATGACATGCGACAGAGACACAGTTGGGCATACATTTCCATTGTGGAGCAGTTTGTCATTAAGATTACTCTTGGATGAGTCAATAAACAAACGCCATTGATTACTGATACGCTTCACGCGAAGCTCCTTCATTAGTCCATGTCGGAACAGTAGCGAAAGGTTTCTGTCTTGTCATAGTAAACAGACATAGCAACTCTTCTCTTTCTGTATACAGTAAACTTAGTGTTTGCAGGAAGTATGTCCCACTGGTGCAGCCAAGATGCTAGTAACTCGGTAGTGTTCTTAGGCAAGCCCAGGTCAAGTACCAAGTAATTCAGCCCTTATTGTTCTATAAGATGTGGGTTTACAGGGTCAGCTTCACAATTTTCAAGCATCTCGGAATCAGGGGAAGCTGAAGATGCGAAACCACTGTCATTCATCATCAGTGACAGGTAAACTGGAGTCACTGGAATACGTGAGGTGCAATCATTGGAAACATATCGACTAACTGATGGAAAATCTGGTTAATGAATTTTGTCCTTTTTGGGTCGGAGAATCCAGTAACAATGGTTAGGCCGAAGTAGCAATTTGTCGTGTGATCCTTCAGCTACCTTCACGCCATGAAGAATGCATGGAGCATCTTGCATTTGCCCTTGAGCCTCTGAGTCGGATGAACATTGCACGACACAGACACTATGCGGTGTTCACTTCTTATCCTGCTCTTCCAGTTGTATCCAGAAATATGCGTGGTAGGCAGAATTCAGTTGTGAAGAAAGGGGTACACACTGCGACTTTGTAATAAACTGTTCACAGAAATCACAAAGTTGTTTTCAGTCATTGATACGCCAGGGTCTTTCAGCAATGCTGAAGATAGCAATAAAGAAAACCCAGCTGTCAATCGACTTCCAGTATCAGGTGAATATCATTCTGAACAGGTAATCTTTTCCACAATTACAGGGAGCCAATCGACCAGTAACAGACGAACATTCGACGCATGTAACGCATAGCTTAGCTGAAACGAAACATTGAATTTAAAACATGAAGAGATAGAGAAACATTTGGTTTGCAAATTCGTAACGAGCTTACTTGCTACCGATAGTAAGTTATTATCTCATTTCTTGTATAAAAATGATGTTGTACAGTCTGATTGATATATTGGAACAGTTTATCCAAGAACATAACTTAGGGGCAATCCGTGTCGGAATATAGGATATTTCTGGACGCCCAGTGCAGATTCCATATTTCAAGGGCATAATGCAGCTGAATAGGACGTTGCGTAAAAAAACTAAGTTTATGGAGCTCAGCAATAAATAACTTTATTCCGCGTTCACTCCCAAGAGTTTGTCAGTTGATGTCCCCATTTTCAGCATTCAATATACATTCGGTTATAACTTCAAATACAGCAGATCATTATTAGTAAGTTAGGGCATCCCTTTATTACTCATCTGTTTGTAAGAACAGTGGGAATGAATTGTAATGGAAACGCTCTAGTTGTTTTTAATCGCCTAGTCGGGACGGATGGGATCTTTTCCTTCATAGCATCTCATGCACAGAGTAGATTATAGAATTCGGATCATTCGGGTCTAAACTACTTAGCCGACAGAAAAATGTACACGCAAGGTGGGAATAGCGAAGAAACGCGTAACACCGCACGACTGCAATCGAGATCCAGTATGAAAGGCTGGTGGACTGCAGGAGTTTGTTTAATGACTCAGCGAAGGCGAACATACCTTCTCTATATTAGTAATTATCATGTAATAGCATAGATATTTAGGACATAAACTTAAGGGACGGTTAATGTCGCTGCAGTATATGAGTTGCCATTTCGTGACAGTGTACAGATGTAAGTTCATTCCGCGTCAGAACCGCTTGAGACGGTAGATGCAATCATGTCACTGGAGGGGATTAGGAGGAGTCCGAACGGTTTGCGTTGACGCAAAACAGCGGTTTTAGTAGGGTGAACACAGTTGCGGCCTGGGTGGACTGATTCGCCTAATACTGAGATCTACGCAAGTTTGGCGAAATAAATCGCTTTGCCATTGCAAAACCTTCAGATACTTAACTAACTGAGCAGTTTAATTTACAAAGAATATTAAAAACGATGCATTTGATGCCATACGTTTTTGGTGATGGTGGTTTATGGCACGTGACTTGCGCGTCAATAAGTGTTAGTACGAGGTCATGCCGGATGCTTTTAGCGAATCGTGGATACATGGTTGAACTCGAATGGAATGATTGATGAAGATTGCTTTTAATGAGTAAGATCTATTGACTGGCCGACTTACAACACCAGAGATAAAACGTTGCTTGGCGGTACTAAGTTCCTTTGCTATATTGAGTATGGACACGTTTTGAATTACAAACGATTTAAAGTTTTGCTTGTAGTGTAGCCGGATTCCAAGGGTCAAATAACGGATCTTATAGAGATAACAAATCACCTGAAACACTGTAATCTGCAGGTATCAGTCACACAAAAATATCATCTTTCGGTACCCTCATCACTACAATCCGCCCAATCTAAAATAACTACCGGGTGAATTGCAATTAAACTATATTTTTGATTGCTATATATGGACCTCTAAAGCACACTTACTTCCTGTTAGTGCATTAGGTAAACGCTCCAAAGTTTTCGTTGCTAGTTGCCTAGAATAATATATCAGTATTTTTTCCCCGCAAAAGTCACAGTGCTCTTTTTGTTTTTTCCATCAGGTCAACGACGACGCTCTGGTACGTTCTACACACTGACTTTATTCCTCCAGGTTGCCTTTTCCACTACACTTGAGATTCACTGTAACAACTAGTGTAAAACACTTCTTTTACACGTGAGTTGGTAGTTTGCAGACGTTTTGAGAAGAGTTTAGCGGGTGTCAAGGGTCGTTAACATGTTGCTGCAGAACCGCGCCAACTGCCACGTCGGAATGAGTACCGGATTTGAAGTGGCTCGCTCACCAAACCTGATTAGAACAGAGAATGGTGAATATATGGAATAACTTGCCTATGCGCCTGTTCAAAGAAAAGTCGGTGTCGGAATTGAAAGTTCCATGACAAATACTTTGCTGATGTGAAATATTAGCAATGATCACCAATACAACTGATCAGTATAAATGATGGATTTCAGAAGCAGCAACATAGGCTTATCTCTCATCGGTACTTCCATCCATCCGTAATACGTGTAACCGAAATAAGTCTGCGTGAAAAGCGTTCTATCAGCATAATATAGGCGGTTACCTTGAACGCCGGCAAAATGGCAAGGTCTTTATAGCAAGTGCCAAGCCCGTCTGCGTTTCAAATCAGCCAATAAATCGGCACCGCAAGTCTAAGACACTAAACCGAGACAAGGTGTTTTCTTTGATTCGAAAAAGACCATCAGTCACTAAAACTCTAATTATTGTTAGTATGCTTTTGCCTTTACACTGAACACTGGAGTAGAGGGTGCGGAACAGAATTGATCTGAAAAAGAAGCTAACTTTTGAAATATCGATCCCGTAAATCTACCATAGCAGCAATTCCGTGGTAAAAATTGCTACTGAAAACCACAAACTAGCAAACAAACGTACCATTAGAGTTAGACTTTACAGTGAGGTTTTCTGCAACCTAATTGAGCGACAGATAGCAAGCGCTTACTGAAGTGTGTTCACCATAATTGCATCGCTGGGGTTCGACTGATCTAATTCAGAAATGGCGTGCAGTCTATTTAATCGGTAATCGTTCGTGTTAACCAATAGCACCATCACATCAGCGCAAATCTGTCTTGTAATGCGTAACCGTTTATTCTGTGGTACTTAAAACTTCGCAGTAATCATATATAGTTGAATGGTCTTATGGACAGTCCATCGACGTTTTCAGTCAAATAATCCCAAACCGATAGAGCGGAAATAAGGTTTGGATCGCGGTTGGACAAGTAGTGCTAGCTTCTACTAACTCTCTTAGCGACATTACATTATAGTACATGTCAAGTGTTCTACAAGTGGCGCGTATTAAAATACTAAGACGGTTGGTTTATCCACTGAGTCGCATTGCCTTCGATTTCAATGAACTAATGGTTAGTTGACTATATACTTAAAATGTCCCATATCGGTAAGAGCGACTCCATAAATTTAACTGAGCGGATCAACTAGACAATCGCTCCATATTCTGTCCATCATATCTTGGTTTGCTTAAGTTTGCGTAAATTAATTTAACTAGACGGAGACGTAGAGCGCTACATTTGCTGTTCACCAGTACATCATGCAAAAATTGGTATTTCAGTGACACAGACATAGTGCTGACTACAATTCCGTCTGTGATTAAAGCTTGGATGTCACATCATTCTGACTGTATGACTTTAAATTGTACGTATATGTGTAATTTCTACTAAAAGAAAACTAGGAACTGAACGTGGTCAAAGGCTTGCCGCTGTCGACAGTAATAGTGTGGCTAAGAGCAGAAGGGACGTAGCAACCACAAATTCAGACAAACATATGCAAACGGATGTCGAACAAAATAAAACCATACCTATTCCCCCAAAACGAATGTATTGATTTAGACTATGGACGTTCGGTAGTTGTAAGCTTAGTTGAGCGTCACCTCGTCAGGAAGACTATCGTGTTTACACCCCTGCGGGCCAATTGCCCAATTCCAAGCTGACATGCCTGTCTGCTAGCTTACTAACTTACATAGGATAATGACGTACTTGTATCTGATTGGTCGCTCTGCTATACACTGCAAGGAAACTACTTCCTATTATGACAGTCAGGGAACTTACGACAGTAATACTCACCTTTACTAGTGACCACAGAAATCACAATGTTCGTTTGACGGCGACAAGTTGACAATGCATGCATCATGCTGGTTTGCTCATTCTAATAAAGTCAAATTCAAGTTTGCTTCTAATAGGTAATGGTGAAGGTTGAAGCAAAGACAAGAAATTCTACTGCGAAGCCCAAGATATTTTTGAGCAGAACTGTTTGTCTGTATAATTCTAACGAACTTGTTACTGCTACGGAATGTAATGGCATCTCTTAGTATTAGTTGATCTTATTGATGAATTAGCATCGTTCTAATCTACCTACCAGCTAACAGCATCCATACTTTTATAGGCACACGGGAGGCAGCGCATCAGCAAAAAATCTGAACACCATAAAGTCTCTTCGTGTGCTCAGAGTTCTCCGGCCTTTGAAAACAATCAACCGAGTACCAAAGTTGAAGGTCAGTGCAATGATGTGATATCCGCCTTACACATTCGTGATGATATTTACCCCTTACAGGTAGTTAAAATCCCCTTGTTCGGAACTTATACTAGCTGTATAGACTCTGTGTGAGGTATCACGAACAGGTCCACATTGCTAAGAGACATGCAGCCACTTACTTACCGACTTAGAGACACAGGCTGATACGGAGCAGTTGTTGGCTTGTTACGCTAGTGCCACATTTGTTGAGCGCAACACGCATGTGTCTTTCATGTTGGACATAAAGTTACAACCATACTTTGTCATACTGTGTGGTTTGACAGATGATGAAAAGATCTAGCCCGCACACACACAACTACAGTAGCTGCTAACCCCATCAGTTCTTCAAAAAACACGAAACATCTCGCCACCCTAGCATGGAAACACAGTCAGAAAATACCTTAACAATGTTATCACTGTTAGTAACTGACGTGCCCCATCTGTTTACTGTATACTAGGGTTTTAAAATGAAATTCCGTTTACATCGGACAGTAACTGCGGTCCAGAGTGGTCATTATCGACCCATGCTTACTGTGTGTATGTGCATGCTGGCGCGTCATATGGCGACTAACAACTGACTGTATCGACTGTGCTATTGATCGAAATTTGGTTCAACCAATCGCATCCCCAGTTTTCTCTGCTTGTCGATTTTGGATTGGTAATAGCATTTGCCTGAAGTCAGTTGCGGAAATTGATATGATTTTGTGTGTGCCGAGAATGCACCCACGTGGGCGCATAAGGTGCGGAAGCAGAACCCATTTTGGAAATCTATCCGTCAAGTACACATCTTGCGACCACTAGTATCCTATTGAGCTATCAAACTTGAAGCAAATTAAGTCTAGTCAAAATAAGCTTTATGAACCCGAATGGATGCATTTTCAGCATTTACAATACCACTGCGGACACCTGGATGATACTGTCAAGATACATGCTTGGGTAGAAAAGTGGGAAAAAAAGCCGAACTGTTACTCCAACAAAAGCTCCCGCAACATGTTAGTGACTTATGCTGTGTCCACAAGCAAAAGTGAGATATAAGGCAAAAAAGTATTACGATACGATGAAGTGCGGTAGATGAAAATTGCATTTCGAACGAGTAGAAGAGAAATTGTTTTGGAAACATCATTGGGAAGTGGATGAAATCGTTCGGTTAGTATCTTAAAAGTGACATCATTGCAGGTATCAAGCTGTCTAGAAATGATCAAATCAGCTAAAGAATCTCTAGACAAGCCGCTACACCTAGAAATGAGCTTTATAGATCGCACCAATAAGATGTAGGCTTACTGAAGCAGTGTAGGGAAAATGACAGGAGAGCAGTATAGCCAATGGACAATAATACAAGAAGTCACAAACCTTAATATTAAAGTACGAGGTACTGAAAGTGTCATCGGTCTGAGGTAATTAAATGGAAGTTTTCTGAATTTTTGAAATGTTTTACAGAGGTGCGTGGACCAAGAAATGTTCTGGGACAAAAAAACGTTTAGATACTTTACGGTAGAAGAGATGGGTATGGGAGTTTTCATCACAGTATGGGGGAGAAAGCTATGAGAGACTGCGACTTATGGCCACGTAGAAAAGAAAATGTTAGATCACTGCATTTAGAAGCATTAAGTGTAAGAGATCTGGATGAAGACCATCCCACCAGATCTTCTAACCCATCTTGAAGTTATGAGCAATCCTGTTTAATGGGGGACATGCATCACAGCATGCCATCATAAACATATTTACACCCCATTAACGTGGTTTGTATATTGAGATGTTCGACCTACAAGGAAAAAAGAAAAGGTGATAAGGTCACTCCCTGTGGAAAACCACAGTCGGCAAGAAGAACAGAGGATTTCTTACCGTTCAAATAAGTGAAGTGAGTACGATCTGTAGAATAGACACTTAACAAAGTACAAACACCATGGTGAACTCCATCTTCGGATAGCAGGTTTAACAACCTTGACCTATCCAGGCTTCCAAAGGCATACGAATAATTCAGGAAGAGAAGCCTTGCGGATTTATATTTTGATCTAATGTAGAGGCTATGGAATGGACAAAAGATAGCACTGCATCCATTGTGGAGCGCTGGGGTCTATAAGCGAACTGGTAGATGTCGTCTTTAGAAGCGGCTGCAAAATGCACGGAATTAACAGTTTTTGAAAACTTTTAGGATCACCGATATACACGCCAGTGAGCTATACTTTTGTGATCCAGTTTTTGTTACTGGACTGCTACTGGCCCTTCTCCAAATGTCCGGGATCACACCTGTAGTGAGGCATTTGTTAAAGAGCTGTTAAAAGCAGTATGAGAGAAATTGCACACTCCACCAAAGCTAATAGTGAGAGAGTATCTGAACCACAAGCTATGGTTGACCTTAATTTTTCGAGTGCCTTGGGACCGTAGCTTTGATCGAAGAGCGCGGCTAAACTTGAGCTAATGAAGGAGAGCAAGGAAGATGAGTTTAGTGAGGCGAAACTGAACTCCGAATTCCATTTATCCACATCCACTTCACCTCTCTGGCTTCAAACGCTCTTAACACACAGCTGCCTCAGAAGCCCCCATAAATCAAGACTGTTCCGGTTGACTAGAACTGCTTCGACTTATAATTGGGTTAGTCTTGTTATCTCGGATTTAATTGTCGTGGTTAGAATTTTGACACTGGTAGCATTCTTACATTTATAGGCTCACTCTTTCATCCTTCGAAGTATTGGTGATGAAAATAAATCTGCTCTTAGATAACTTGTTTCAACAGCGCAACACATATCAAAGCGATATCTGATGTACTCCGTAAGATGGTCACATTCGGGCGACAGGTGCTCGACTTCTCAAACCGAAAAAAAGTTAAAGAAAACATCGTCTGGAGCCTCGTGATGTGTTCCAAGGAGAAAATTCGCCAAGTGATACTCTTGTAAAGAGGTTTGATCAGCGTTAAAATATTAGACTTGTTGCATATGACTGGACACAGTTTTAAAATATAATGGTCTGAGCCGCTCAAAGGAGATCGCTTTTGTGTGGAAAACAACCGCCGTTTATTTGTGAATACAGTGGCCATCTGGACATCTTGTCTGATTGAAACAGTCACTAGGTTCTACCAAGTCAAGTGTCTTCAAGAATGTTGTATCCTTTTTATTGAATTCGCCAGCAACAATAAAGATAGAACAAGCTAATTTAAGCAGTAGCGTTGAAGAAATTTGATCCTCAAAAAGCTTTAAGTCCGTTGCAGATGTGTCTGGAGCAATATATACGTCTCCAACGATGATAGATCGGAATCCACTTAGGAACTTCCGTGTGCACTCAACTAAATGGCAGCTTATAGAAATCGTTGAGTACGTACACATTATGATTGCTGCTTTGCACCAAACTTGTGTAACGTAAGTTATAACGTCTCCACCACGAAACTGGGTTCTTCGGGACGCTCAAACCTGATGGGAAAATAAAAACCGATTTGAGTTACCTCATTTTCCACATCAGCATGCAAGCGCCTTTCTTGCAACAGAATGATTTCTGTAGTAACTTCAATTCGTCGCGTAATGTCACTGAAAGCACTGATTTTAACAAGGAGCGAGCGAACATTAATGGAAAGTATCAGTGGGACTTGCGCTTTGTCGACCGAACAACGACTGAGGCCAGATTGCCAACCAGCATGATGCTTGCGCTTTTTGCTAACACATCTATTCGTAATACGTTTGCAAGTTTTCCTGACTTTATGGCCGTATTCCATAAGGCCCGGATTTAAGACAGTAACATGTAACGTTTTCAAATATTTGACCGAGTAGAACAACATTAATGTTTAGACCTGAGCATAAAGAACAAATTGCATCAAAGTTAAAGATAAAATATAGAATCCGCAGTCGGTAGTTTAAACTAATCCAAGGAGAACAGCAACGACGGAAGTTGAAGGCCCCGCCACTTGCACACACTTTCCACAGGTGAACAATTGGCTTTGAGGTAGAAAGCGGGTTTCCGTCCGGTTCTTCCGGTTCGCTATGTTTGACATGTAGTACGAACGGTAACAGCTTCACTTGCGTTTAGTGGGTCCAGTGTGCTCAACCAATTAAGCTGAACATAACGCTAATCAGAAAAATAACGGTTTCGTCAAGAGCAAGAAACAGCCCGATAAAAGCATATACAACTGGTGTATATAATATGGACTTTGCTAAGTTGGGAACTCATCCACTTTACCTCAAATCAGAGCAAGCAGGTGGAAAATGCGTGCAGTTGCATTTTGTAACTACGAGGTGAACATAGCAAGTAATCATATCCAGAGCAAATTGCTGATAGTGACCGATGACGTTCGAATGAAACGGAATCACTTTAAAGTGGCATGGTAGTACTATTTAAAGAATGGGATGGGTAATATATTGTTTATTTTGATCACTGTTGTGTGTGTCTGTTGTGACGTGTGACATGCTGTTACACCATGGATTACGTATAAATTTACTCTCTGTCTTCTCGGTTGGTTACTGAAATCTCCTCTGAAACCGGTAAATATTACCTGGTTTCAGATTTCAAGACTGTAATGGAAGTCAGGTTATCTGCTTGTTTACAATCTTTGAGATGGATCCCTTAGATTTATGTGTGTCTTGTGAAAAGCAAGACAAAACATATAGTTAATGTTATCAGAAGAACAAACAGAAAGAGTAAAGTCCTCAGCTAGAATGTCGTATGGAGTCGCAATTTTACTGTCTACAAGTGAATTACGCGAAAATTGATATAACATCAACTACAATGAAAAATTCGGAGTTGTCCCGTTGATTTCCACGCAAGTCATTGAACAGTATGTTGTGTGCAACAAGCAGTTGACACGGAGAAACTTACATTTGATTTTATGCACATTCGCAACCCATCAAAGTGGTATCATATCCGGAGAGAACACCAATTTGTAGACCTTCGGTGCACATGCTCAGTAATTCGGCTAGTGAAAAGAACTTGGGAAGATAACCGACAGGTTAACAGTCAAGTGTGCGGAGGAGTAGCGAGAACCGGTAGATGAATGGA